TCCCCCTCCTCCTCCATGCCTGTTCCTTGCCCTTGTAGACGATCCCTCCGCGCCGCACCCCGAGACGTGTCGGTAGGGCGGGCTGGGCGCTTCGCCTGAGATTTTTCTGTTCCTTGTCATTCATGAGCCGGGCATTTCGAAGTTGCAAAAGCTTCGCAGGTGGAGGGTGGGCCGTTTTCAAAATGTGGTTATCCCATCAGCGCCGCGCGCATGTTTTCAGAGTTCGCAAGAGCCTTGTGGATAGAAGACGGGCGGTTTTCAAGACGTGGCTCTCGACTCCAAGCCGCGCGCAATTGTTTCAAAAGTTTGCAAGGGTTTCACGGTTGGGGGGCGGGTGGTTTTCACAAAGCGGTTCTTGCTTTGGCGCCGCGCACATTGCTTCCAAACTTCTGCAAGAGCTGCATCGATGGATGGCGGGTGGTTGTCCAGGTGGGGTTCTCGCCCGGGCGCCACGCGCATTCGTTCTAACAGTTTGCAATATGTTCACGGTTGGACGGCAGGTGGTTCTCAAAAAGTGGTTATTGCCTTGGTGCTGCGCACATTGGCTTCAACATGTTGTGCGAACACTTCACGGATGGAGGGTGGGTGGTTGTCAACGTGTGGTTTACATTTCAGCGCCGCGCACATTCGTTTCACCTTGCACAAACTCAACTGCTTCAGATAGTGTCATGCCTGACGTGTCATGAACAGTGGCCCAGCAAGATTTAGGATTGCCGTGGTGTAACAACAACATTGTTTCGCGGTGTTAGACATTGTAGGGATGGCGTCATGATGCATTTCGGGATCGTCTGGGCGCAGCAATGACATGGACTTGCCCCGTCGAAGTCCCAGGAATTGTGTCCTCGTGCAGTTCGGGATTCTCAGACAATGGTCTTCCAACGAGACACTTCCCGCAATGACGGCAACTTCTTGCACAGATTTATGAAAAAGGGACATGGGGGGAAGGGCTGTTTGCAACATCGTTGGTGCTTCTTGGGTTTGTCCGCCTCCTCCTCCTCCTCCTCCTCCTCCTCCTCCTCCTCCTCCTCCTCCTCCTCCTCCTCCTCCTCCTCTTCCTTATCTGTCTCCCACACGACGCCACCCACTCTTCGCCACCCTCTAGCCTCTCAGCTGTATGCACGGAAGGTTGTGGAAAGTAGGATCCGAGTGGCCGTTCCCAGGGACTTCAAATTACAGATCGTGTTGCGCTAATCGGTCGCCCGATAGCAGGGGCCGAACCAAGCGCGCTGACGGGCGGGACCCCTCCTCACAAGCTGACGCGCCGACGGCTTGGTTCTCCCACGAACGTGACCATCCCCCCCGCCCCAGGGCCGTTCGGCCCTGTGGCGGTGATTACACTAGCAGCTCGGCGAAAACTATCGCTGGCTTGGTGGAGGGCACAGGAGGAGGAGGAGGAGGAGGAGGAGGAGGGAGGAGGGAGGAGGAGGGGAGGGGGAGGGGGAGGGGGAGGGGGAGGGGGAGGAGGAAGAGGAGGAGGAGGAGGAAGGAGGGGAGGAGGAGGGAGGAGGGGGGGCAAGGTAAACAGCAGGACGCGCAAGGAAAAGCGGGGGGGGGGAGGGGGGGGTCTGGGGAGCGCCCTCGAGCGCAGCGGGGCCAGGTGGGAGGGCCGCCGCTGCCTCGTTTGTCTCAGCCTGTTTTTCCTTTCTCCAACTCTCACTGGGGGGATCCTCCTCCTCTCCTCCTCCTCCCTCCCTCCTCCTCCCCCTCCTCCTCCCCCTCCCTCCTCCTCCTCCTCCCCCTCCTCTCCTCCCCTCCTCCTCCTCCTCCTCCTCCTCCTCCTCCTCCTCCTCCTCCTCCTCCTCCTCCTCCCCCTCCCCGCTTCGCTATCTGGGAAGCTCTGCGAGCGAGTCAAGCTTCTACAAGCAAGCTTCCACGAGGCACTAGAAGCAAGCTTCCAAGGAGCTTCGGAAGACGGTGGACGGACCTTCAGGGGAGCTTCGGGGGCACGCGTATTGGAAACGAGTAGCAAAACGCTGGCCGGAAGAGAAAGACACGGTGGGAGGAGGGGGGAGAGAGAGAGAGAGAGAGAGAACAAAAAAAGACGGGATACGAGCTTCCGACGAGGCCAAAGCAAGACACCCCGGGAGGAAATCCAAGAAGGATAAATGGCGTGCATGAGCCGAAAACGGCGTCGGCCAAACCATAGAAAAACGACGATCGGCCGCACCCCCCTGGGGACTTGACATCGGAGGGTCCGGCGCCCTTTCAGCCGACAGGCAGCCGCGGTAGGCGGCGGGCAGGAGCAGGGTGCCTACAAGTCACGCGTGGTCCTGAATCCTCAGAGCCCCGGTGCAGCAGAGGGCGAGGTGGCCGAGGAGCGGGCGCGCAGGGGCGGCGCGCCCAGCAGCAGCAGCAGCAGCAGCAGCAGCAGCAGCAGCAGCAGCAGCGGAGGAGGAGGAGGAGGAGGAGGAGGAGGAGGAGGAGGAGGAGGAGGAGGAGGAGGAGGAGGAGGAGGGAGGAGGAGGAGGAGGAGGAGGAGGAGGAGGAGGAGGAGCAGGAGGAGCAGGAGGAGGAGCAGGAGGAGGAGGAGGAGGAGGAGGAGGAGGAGGAAAACGCTTCAGCCTCGTCGCCAGAGTCCGACCAACGTAATAGAAACGATGGCGTACATCCAAGGAGGCCCCCGCAGCCTCCAGAGCACCCCTCACGAGGCACAGAGGGCCCCAGGGGCTCCGAAATGGAGCGAAAAGCTGGGGGCACCAGGGGCCAGGAGTGCCTTTAGCAACCCCCGGCGGTGACGTCACGATTCGCGACGGTGCCGTCCAGGAGTGCTTGTAACCAGCGCGTGCACCTGCTCACCGGCGGTCACCAAGTGACATGCGATCACCACAATGTTGCTGGCCAGGGACATCAGGAGGACAAGGACGACGAGAGGAAGAGGAAAAGGAGGAGGAGGAGGAGGAGGAGGGGGAGGAGGAGAGGGAGGAGGAGGAAGAGGAGAAAGAGGAGTATGAGGGAGGAGGATGAGGAGGAACAGAAGGAGGAAAAGGAGGAGGAGAAGGAGGAGGAGGAGAGGCAGGAGGAGGATGAGGAGGAGGCGGATGACTTAGGGGGAGGACGAGGAGGACGAGGAGGAGGAGTAGGACGCTTCAGCCTCGTCGCCAAAGTCCGGCCAACGTACGTAAAAGAAACGACGGCGTACATCCAAGGAGGAGGCGGAGGAGGAGGCGGCGGCGGAGAAGGAGCAGGAGGAGGAGGAGGAGGAGGAGAGGGCTGCATGCGTGCGCATGGAACGGTGGAATCCAGGCGAGGCGGGCGCGCGCCGCGGGCTTGCTGGTGCAGGGCCGCTGGGGAGTGGTCGCAGGCCGTCAGGGAGCTGCAGGTGTTCGGTGGTTGCTAAAGGCGCCCCTGGCCCAAGGTGCAGACTACACCGCTTCCTCTGTCGACCGCGCCTTCATCAGCCTCCCTTCGCACGCGACGCAGGAGCTTTCCATGTCCGTCCACGTCTTGCATGGCGCCGCCACCATGTCGGACAAGCGCATCAGCGATCACGCCATCACCCCCTTCCCGATTGGCATAAATCCGAGAACGCCTTCTACGGGACAAACTTCACCGCCAACTGCGTTCCGCAACCCGAACTACGCCACCGACTTCCAGAAGCTCATCGGCGCCGCCTCCACGCTGCACAACTCATTCGTGAAACGCTGGCGTTCGCACAAGCGCTTCATGACCGAGGCCGCCCGCATGGTGCGGGGCGACTGGGTCCGCATCAGTTCTGGCGACGTCGCGGAACTTGTTGTCCTTAAGGCGGCAGGGTCACCACCATGCGCTCGATCTCGCGTGCGATCTGGGGATTAGCTGTCCAACTTGCGCGGTGACTTCACGCCGCCGCGGACATGGGCAAGCGCTTCCTCGACATCAGCTCCACGATCGTCCAGCCCACAGACGGCGCCCAGCTCGCGCGCCTCGCGTCCGCCCTGCACTGGGACTTCGAGGCGCGCCAGCGCTCTCTGGCGCAGCTAGGAGCTAGGCGCCCTCGGAGCCATCTCGAAGCCCTCCCTCCTGAGAACTCCAGCGAGTGCTCCGGGCTTCCCAGAAGCGAGCTCTCCTCTGGGCCCTGTGGATGCGTCGACTCGTCCTCCAAGGGTTCAAGATCACAGGCCTCGAAGGCCCCGCCGCCACCACCAGAGCGAGCGGTGCTATGGTCGACGCCATGCGCACCTACTGGCGCCCCACCTTAGCCCGGAAGACGGTCGACGCCAAAGCCGCGCGCGCGTGCATCGACGAGCGCGTGCCGCAGGGCAGCACGCTGGACGTCAAGCCGCCCTCCAAGTACCAGTTGCAGGCCTTCCTGAAGCGCGCGTCTCCATCGGCCCCTGGGCCCGACTGCTTGCCGTGCAGTGCCTGGGCAGCCCGCGACCACTCCCTAGACATCCTCGGGGACCTAGCCAGCTACCTCTCCTCGGGCAACTCGATCCCGCGTGACCTTAAGGACTCGGACTTCGCCTCCCTGCCTTCCTTCTTCGCGCCCTTTGGGACGCCGCGGTACGGCCGCGGAGCCCCCCCCCGCCGGGGCCTTGCCGGCCGGCCAGGACGGCTGGTGGGGTCTCCCCAGCCGCTCGGCGCCGCCCTCCATGGCCGCGGGCCAGCGCGCGGGCGCCCGACCTCGCGTCGGGGCCTGGCACGCTGGGCTCCCGGAGGGCACTGGGGGCGGTCTGGCGGCCCTCCCCGAGACGCCGCCAGCACCGCCCTCGGGCCGGCGGCCCCGCCCATCGGCGCGAGCCCATGTCCACCCCCCCGCGCCTGCACGCTGCGCAGCGCTGGCAGCGCTGCTCCAGGCGGCGAATGGCGAGCGCCACCTCCGCCGCCGCCTCGGGAGGGCTGTCCCCGAAGAGCCAGCGCGCCCGCCGGTCAGACTGCGCCGGTGGGGGGGGGGGGGGGCGCTGCTGCGGCGCCCCAGGCTGCCTGCGAGCCTGCGGCCTCCTCGCATCAGGCGAGGAGGTGCGCCGCGGTCTCCAGGGAGCCCCGTCAGAGCCGACGCGGCTGGAGGCCGCCAGTCCGGTCTACCTTGAAGGCCCCCTCGAGCGCGAGGCGCGGCGCGCTGCATCTGGCGGGCGCCCAGCGGCTGTCAGGGCTGGGACGCCCCATTGCCGGTCTGAGGTGCGCTGCAGCCCCTGCACCTGGCTCCTGTGGCTCCACCAGCGCAGCTCGTCCGTATCGTCCAGCGCCTTCCCTAAGCCCACGCGGTAGTCGCCGCGCAGGCGCCGCCGGGCCTCCGCGCTGCCATTTGGGGGTGCCCGCGGGGGCCTGATCTGCAGGCGCTTGAGCGCGGCCGCCGCCGCCCCCCCCCCATGAGCCCGGCGCGTCCTCTGACAAATACCGAGGGCCCTCCGCGCTTCCTCGCACCGGGGGTCCATGTCCACCTTGATCCTCAGCATGAGCGCCATCTGCTCGTAGTCCGTCGACAGCCGCCGGGCGGGCCCGCCCCAGCTGCTCCAGGAGTACGCCGCGGGGCAGCGGCCCCGTGAGTCCAAGTACGGGATGACCTCGCTCGAACTCCGGCAGGTGGAAGCATAGCTCCAGGCCAAACAGCGCCGCCGGCCTCAGCGCGTCCAGCTTTTCCCTGATCGGGAAACCGCAGTCCTGCATGGCCCGTATCTGGCGCCTGCCCACAGCTCGGCCGGCCTCCGGGCACGCCCGCGGGCGCCCCCGCGCCGGGGGGCCCCCGTCCCGGACTACTCCCAGGCAGCGGTATAAGTCCACGAAGGCTGCGTCCCAGCATGGCCTGGTATTTCGCAGTCCGCGCGCAAGGGCTGCCGTTTTCGTGGGCCCATACCCGAGGCGCCCCCAGTACTTGTTGGACACCCAGCAGGGCCTTGCCCACAGTGGCCCCGCGAGGACGCCTTGTTCCGCAAGTCGTCCACGAAGGACCAGGCTCCGGCGCGGGTCTTCGCCGCGCCGTCAACCAAGGCCAGTCGCGCCGCGTCCGAAGACGCACTCGCCACGACGTGCTCCCAGGTCGCTCCTGCCGCCAGGAGCAAGCACCACTTGTCGACCTCCTCGCTGTCCAGCTCGCCCACGTCCGAGTGATCCCGGGCCGCGCGGCATGCCCGCAACGCCTCAGGGCCAGGGTCCAGGCCAATGCCCAGGCCGGCCCATTCCTGCAAATCCTCCACCTTGGCGGCGTTCGCTGCGCAGTAAAGCACTTGATTGAGCTTCCTGCCTTAGGGCATCCCCGCCCGGGGTCGGATGACACACGACCTGCAGTTGTGCGCCACAACCTGGATGATGGCGCCCGCCAGCATTGCCTCCAGCTGGAGCATTGCCTCCAGCTCCAGCAAGGCGGACAACCTCTTGGGCGATATCACCGCAGACCGACTTCCTGAAGACACGCGTCCGCTCTCGCTGAAGAAAACCGGCATCAAAGCCATCGCAGGAGCTGCAGCAACATGATCAAGCAGCACGTTGCCGAGCGAGCGCACACGGCCTAGCAGGGCTTCATCATGGGCGGGACTCTCACCCAGCACATCGCGTTCGCGATCGAATCTGGAGTCGCCCAGGGTCTGCCCAGCGAACAGATCTGCATGGGCGATCGCGATGGACGCGAATTTCCGCCACCTCGCGCAGGCCATCGAGACGGTGAATCTCGGCAACGACCCGCGCTCCAACTACCTAGGCGCATGCGCGGACTGCCTGGGCCTCCCGCGCGGCTCCTTCGGCCTCGTGAGCAGAGTGACTGAGCCATTTGGCGCCGCAGCTCGCCTCGCTTTGCTGTCACTGAAGCCGCCCAAGTGCGTTGTAGTCTCTCTCTCTCTCTGGGCGCCTCTGTCTCCTGCTACCCTAGCCCGAGCCCGGGCCCTGCTGCCCGTTTTTGTTGCCGGCGTGGCGCGGGTTCTCGATCTGCGGGGCGCGCCACATGCTTCGGGGCCCTCCTCGGACCCGCGGGCGGCCTCATTGGCCGATGAATGGCGCGCTCCTGGGCAGAGATTGTGGCAGCGCTCGCATTTGCCCCCGCCCGCGCAGTCTGGCAGCGACGCCACGGCCCGTTCATGCAACGCATCTGTGTTCTCTCTTTTGAGCTGCGTGGCCCAGTTCTTCCCTGTGCCTGCTTCCATCGCTCACCGCGAGCACGACGTTTCCATCAGATGCTCAGTCTGCCAGGTCGACCTCCTTGCGATGGCGGACTGGGCGCCGCCGCCAGTCCCGCGTTCGCCGCGGGCGATGTCGGTCGACGCCGCTGCTCGTTCCGCGCCCGACATTTTGTCGGGCACGCGGGGGGCCCCATGTCGATCGGCTCCGCGAAACCGCGTGGGGCGAAAGCACGGTTCACACTCTCCATCGCTGGACGGAGGGCTCGTGGTCTCCGAACTTCTGGGTGCAGCCTCAGGCGATCATGCAGTTGCATGCCCAGCTCTGCGATGCCAAGCGTGCCGCACTTTTCACACCAGTAATGACGCGCACTGCTTACGCAGCCGCGCTGGAGGAGCAGGAGGCTGCCTTCTCCGCGGAACCACCGCGCCGTCCTCACTTCCAGCGCGGGTTTGCAGCTTCGCTGCGCCAGTCTGCATTGGCCTTGCCGTATCTTATCACCCTCACGGAACGCAGCATTTCGTAGGGGATCCAGATCGACCCCGATTGCCTCGCAGAGCGCTGGGCGTCGCTCTCCGCTGAGCCCCGCGCCGTCAGACCGAGTTGGCGCTGGGCGACTTTCCAAAAACTGGCCGCGGGATGGGCTACCTCCGCTCGCATGCGCGTGCTTGAGCCGCGCAGCTGTCTGCTCGGCTGCCCTGACCAGCCAGACTCATTCCCCCAATATCTGTTCTGTCCTCGCCTCTTGAGCCTCCTCTTGCCCCTTGACCCCCTCTTCCCATCAATGCTTTAACGGGCGGGGGCTTGCGCCCCGCTGCTGCAGATCCGCCTGCGCTGGACGAGTTGTCTTTGTGCGAGACCATTCGCCGTGCCACGATGGCCTTCCACATTCATAATAAACTGCGGACGGCATCGTCCCCCACGCCGAGCGCGGTCGCTGCAGCGCTGTCTGCCGCCCGTGCCCTGGTTACGCGCTAACTGGATAGCGGCTTGGGAAGGGGATAAACAGTTAGGGAGCAGGAAGAAGGCAGGGCTGTTCACACAATGTTTGCCCCCCTGCTCTCGCTCGTCGCCTGTGCTTGTGTTCGGTAGCTCGCATCGGATCGACCCGCGCCCCCCACGGTACCCGCACTCCTCCTCCTCCTCCTCCTCCTCCTCCTCCTCCTCCTCCTTCCTCCTCCTCCTCCTCCTCCTCCTCCTCCTCCTCCTCCTGCTCCTCCTCTTCCTCTTCCTCCCTCTCCTCCTCCTCCTCCTCCTTCTCCTCCCTCCTCCTCCCTCCTCCTCTTCCTCCTCCTCCTCCTATCCTCCTCTCCTCCTCCTCCTCCTCCTCCTCCTCCTCCTCCTCCTCCTCCTCCTCCCTCCTCCTCCTCCTCCTCCTCCTCCTCCTCCTCCTCCTCCTCCTCTCCTCCTCCTCCTCTGTCTCCTCTCCTCCCTCCTCCTCCTCCCCTCCTCCTTCACCTCCTCCTCCTCCTCCTCATCATCATCATCCACCTCCTCCTCCTCCTCCTCCTCCTCCTCCTCCTCCTCCTTCACCTCCTCCTCCTCCTCCTCATCATCATCATCCACCTCCTCCTCCTCCTCCTCCTCCTCGTCCTCCTCCTCCCGTTCCCCCTCCTCCTTTTCATCCTTCTCATCCCCCTCCTCCTCCTCCTCCTCCTCTTCTCCTCCTCCTCCTCCTCCTTCTCCTTCTCCTCCTTCTCCTCCTCCTCCTTCTCCTCCTCTTCCTCCTCCCCCTCTTCTTTCTCGTCCTCCTCTTTTTCCTCCGCTATGATGTCCCTGGCCAAAAACGTTGTGGTGAACGCATGCCGCGCGATGACCGCCTTTGCGCAGGTGCACGCGCTGGTTTCAAGCATTCCCAGACAGCACTGGCGCGAATCGTGACGTCACCACCGGGGGTTGCTAAAGGCACCCCTGGCCCCTGGTGCCCCCGGCTTTTCACTGCATTTCGGAGCCCCTGGGGCCTTCTGGGCCTCGTGAGGGGTGCTCTGGAGGCTGCAGGGGCCTCCTTGGATGTACGCCGTCGTTTCTTTTACGTTGGTCGGACTCTGGCGACGAGGCTGAAGCGTTTTCCTCCTCCTCCTCCTCCTCCTCCTCCTCCTCCTGCTCCTCCTGCTCCTCCTCCTCCTCCTCCTCCTCCTCCTCCTCCTCCTCCTCCTCCTCCACCTCCTCTTCGGGGATCCGCCGGCATCTTCCTCCTCCTCCGCACCCGGCAGCCGGCGTTTCTCGCATGGAGTCCGCCGGCCTCCTCCCTGGAACCGTCTTGGGGTCTGAGGTCGCCGGGCGCTGTCTCCGGCGAGCAGGGAGGGTCGCCACGGGGGAAGCGCGTCCTGAGGTTATTCTCCGATTTACAGTCAAGACGCTGAAATGAGTAGCAGTTTGGGTTCGGAAGGGGCTCGATGTTCCTTAGGTTCCTCCAGTGCTGTTCCTCTTGCCCTCCTGGGGCACGGAGGTACTTACAGGGCCAAGAAGGGGCTTCGTTCCTTATTTAGCGTTCCTTCTTTCAGCGGCCCTTCACGGGCCGGCCCCAGGATTGCCGGGATTGTCAGAGAACGACTCAGGATGAAGATCTCGTCCTGGCGGAAGGCCCTGGGGTCCAGGAGCCGGTTCCCTCAGGACCCTTGACCTCCATGCTATAATTGTTCCGGCGAGCAGGGCGGGGGGTGGTCAATGTTGGAGGCGAGTGCTCTTCTTCTGCCTGTGGTGGCCGTCCTCGGGCCCCGGGATTGTCAGAAACGGACCTCGGGTGAAAATTGCACTACATGTACCCGGGGAGGGGTCTGGTGACCGATTTGGGGCGGATTTGTCGACTACACGCGAGAGTGACCCTTCGCCGGAGTGACTTTTGGTGCGCGCCCATTGGGGCCCTCCGATCGCCGAACGCGGTGCGATGGTCGCGTCTTGCACGCTTGTGTGTTGGTCCCCCCGCGGCTCCCCAAAAGCCGCGCACCAAAGGTCACTCTTACCCAGGGTCACTCTTTGCGTGTAGCCGAATTTGGCCTCATCCCCTCCTCCTGACTGATTTTCTGGGGCCCCAACCAGTTCAGACCCCCAGGCCGCCTCCAACATCATCGTTTTTGGTCACCCAGACGTTGATCAATGATCGCCGCCTTTGAAGACAAGCCACAAACAAAGAGAAAGATACCGACTTGGGCCATGTGGCCTGGGTTTCCCTTTCACCCCGACGTTGGTCAATGATCGCCGCATTGGAAGACACGCCGTAAACAAAAAGTACGACTTGGGCGATGCGGCCTGGTAACCAAACCAATGGCCGAGCGAACAGAGATCTGACGCAACAGGCCATGATAATTCCATGAGACAAGTAGCCCGCTGGGGTGCAGAGCATGCGTGCGGAGTGTCTTGGGTGAGGTGAGGAGTTACGAAACCATGCCATCATCCTCCTCCTGCCCCCTCATCCTCCATCCCTTCTCCCTCCCTTCTCGTCCCTCGTACTCCTCCCTCCCTCCCTCCACCCATCCTTCTGGGGTTGCCAATGTAATTAATGCTGGCATGGAGCACTCCACCATGGCCGAGACTGACGCTCTATATGCAGGTGCACGCGAAGGAGGCGATGATGCTCCCTGTTTTTGGCCTCTTGG